TGCGGAATTTATAGTTGTGGAAAATGAAATAGATGCTAGGAAGGATTAAGACGGGGGGAGGGAGGGGTAAGGGAAAGATCGGGGATGATCGCCCGAGGAAAGCCATGTCGATCCTTCGGAGCCCATTCGTAGCCAATCAGAATCGTCGTGTAACAGGAATATCCTTCTTACATGGCGCGTCTCCTTGGCTAGAGGGGAGGAGGAGGAAATCGACAGGGTATTCCGGAGAAAGGTTTAGAGCGGGAAGAAGAAGAGTGCGAAGGATAGCGGGAAACAGAACCAAGATTCAAACGATCAAGAAAGAGAAAAGGCGCGCGAGGCGAGGGAGAGATGGAAAACGATTACAGAGAAAGGAGTGTGAGCGCGAAGAAGAGAGTGTCGAAGGTAGCGAGGGAAGTGGGGAGGGGAGGTTCGCATGCATGGCGCCGACGTGGAGGCAAAAAGGGCACCGAAACAATTACAGCTAATTCAAAAATTGAAAAGTATCGTATCCGCGCGTAGAGCGAGCGTGGGAAAAAATCCTATACCTATTCAGATTCAGAAGAAAATTCCGAGAGTTTTCCAAGACGAAGTCGAGAGCAGTCATGCATAAGAAAGGACACGTCAAGTTCTGCTCATTCCGGAATTCCTAACCGAGACTTCCAGATCGAGCCAGAGTCCGTGTTGACGTCAACTTCAAGGGCATTGCCCTACTGTGCAAAGGACCACACAAAGCAGTTATGGCTGCTCTTGTTCAGGCCGCCATGCCTGACGCTGCCTCAAAGCTTCTTGGTGCAGCTCTACCCCAACCGGGCCTTCAAGATGCAGAGTCCACCAAGGTGATGAAGATGGCGTTCACCATAGCCAGGTAAGTCCCCTGGCGCTTCCCTCTACTAGCCTCCTCCTCCCTCCTCCTACTGCTTAACTCTTTCCACCATAGCCACGGTGGAGAGTTGGGCGCTCCTCCTTCCCCAAGCACTGCTTGCTGCTAGCACTGCTCCGCCGGTCGCTCCAGCAGCATGTCGCCAAACTTGCACACCAACAAATGAGGAGGAACACTTCGCTCCTCTTGGAGATATAGTGGCCTGCTTGCCTCTTGGGCAGCGACTTCCTAGGCCGCGCGGCCTCCAAGCAACCGGTACCTCCTCCCTTTCGGAGGGAAACATCATTGCAGACTCTGATATTGGCCGTACAGGCCCTAGACTCAGACTGGTTGGACTGCCGCCTAGACCTAGCCTACAACTACTACGCCTCTAAAAATGCCATTTTTCGTCTTCTTCTGCTCGGCCTCGAGTACGCGGCACATCTACCTCTACTTGGTGTGGTACCGGCCTACCTGCTACTTGAGAGTTTTTCCGCTGCTCCAAGTGTTGCGGGCCTCTATCCCCGCCACTTGAGTGTTTTCCCCGCTGCAACCCTCAATGTCACGACCACAGGTAAGTAGCGGCCTTTCGGGCCTCCAGCACGGTCAAGTACCATTGCAGGTCACCCAGACACTCAAACCGACAAGCACTCAGACAGGCACGCAGACCAGCAAGGACGCACACAGTTAGACTTAGAAAACTCAGCAACAAGCGGGAAACTCAGCAAGGCATACATTCCATTGGCAAAACTCAGAAATCAGCTGTGTTTCTCAGTCCGTGTTTGGCAGGTCCTTACATAACACAGAAGGCTCCAGTAACAAAAGAGCACCGACTACACATGCCAATGGTCTAGAAAACTTTTTTGAGCCTGTGATAAGCTAGGATCCGTACCTAGCGGCTTCACGTACCCTTCGGAGTAAAATCCGAAGTAAGCCCCGAAGCCCGGATTTTCGTTGATCAAGAAAAGCAGGGTCCATTTTTCAATTGTGGGGGACTAAAAGCCTGCATCTTTTGGAATTGCCCGTCCTTGTGGGTTCTCCTTGCGGACGGTTAGTGACCGCACAAAGAAATCCAAGAAACAGTTATTGTTGTCGACATTCAGATTTCCTTCCTGTTAAGGTGTGTGCGGGCCATTTTGAATTTTTGCATGCCGCGTAAACTCGCTTCCCTCTCTGCACCTACGTGCCATCTTCCCTTCTTGCTAGAGTACTCCTCCGGGCTTACCTCTTCGTCTTCCCCCAACTCTGCGCCCGATCCTCCCCTTACCTATCGGCGCGAATGATTGGTCGTTTAGTTGGGATGGTCGGATCAATGCCGCGAGAACGAATTGCGTGTGCAGCTTGAACGGGCACCCCAATTAAATGGGACTCTCATTCATTCCGCCTCTCTCAATCCTTCTGGTATCTCCTTCATTCTTCAGTCCTGCTCATCTACACCCCTTTGCTGCCCGCACCCCGCGCTGGCACCCCGCCGCCTTCCGCGCTATAAATTCTCGCAGCCCCCTCCTCTCCCTCTCTTTGATCTCGGCTGCAATGTTGCACGAGCTATGCGTGAAGACCACGACGTCGAATAGGTTCAACTTGCCCAAGTGATGGGCGGGGTGACAACGTGGGGTGGAATTAGCAATAGACTTGGGGTGAGGCAGTCAGAGCGGCGGAGCAGTGGTGGAGATCGAACGCCGCCAGTGGCACAACCTTGTGGTTATGGTTGGTTGATGTTCAGATCGGTTGGGGGCTTCCTGAAATGTTCCAACTTTGGCGAGCCTGGCTATTCGCAACATACTTGGATGACGGGTGGCTGTCTGGGGGAGGCCAGCCGTGCGGGAATTTTGAAGAGCGAAGGATTCACTTTTATCTCCATTGCTGCTTTGTCCAAGTGTGGTGTGCAGTATCCCGAGTGTGGATACTCAGTCGCATGCATGATGTTGGTTATGAGTGTCTATGGATGTTAAATTTCTCGCTGTCCAAAATAGATGGATGTATAGATGTGGAATGAGGTCGTGTGTGTGAGGCGCCTGCGGGTGCAACTCTGGGGAGCACGGGGGTGTCAAACGTCTGCCTGAATGCATGAGTGTGTTGAAGTCCTTCTCTTCCCTGATCCTTGCCGATCGCGCCGCCACATGTGAGCGCAGGGATCGTCGTTGACCCTTCCCTCCGTCCCCTCCCCCCTCGCGCACACAAGTGCCACGTGTCCGTTGGTCTTGTGTTCCGTCCGGCTGGCCGCCGACAACCAGGGAAATCAGTCGCATGCGTCCGCACGCGTTGCCCCATCTCTTTGCTACTCGGCCATAGCCATTGAGATTTGTATGGAGTCAAGATTCACCTCGTTAAACGTGAGTGTGGGTAACTGCTCGTGCTCAACCCTCTCGTCGATCCGCCACAGTGACCCTCGACCCTTCCTAATCGCAGACGAAGATAGTGTGTACTGCGATGCGAACGTACAGAGCGCGCTGTTGTGAACCGACCGGGTTCACTTCTACAACCCATCTAAGGCCTGTTATGTAGGGGGGTGTGGGTTTGTTCTGATTGATCGGTTTTCCTCCACTCCCTTGATCTTGCTGACACCGATTTTATGGTGCTGCCTTGGTTGGCGGCCCACGCCACGTGGCGGCCCCAGTTTAACTAATGCTGGTGTCGGCAGGAATCGTGATCCTGGTGGAGGCTGGTTGCGAGCACTCCCGACGAGCTTCCAAACTTGGGTCTCAAGCTTGTCCGAATCGGACGGCGTTGCACCTAGCCGACCTCGCGGACTCGATGAATCCGACTCGGAAGCCTAGATGCTCCATATCTCTGGGTTTCTGCCATAGAGTTAGCGTTAACCTTGTGCGAGAGAAACGGTAAATTCCGCTCTTCCCTTCCCCTTTTCCTTTTCTCTTTCGGGTTGTTAGTAGTCAGCCTAGTAGTGCGCCGCTCTCAGCCCCCTCGACCAAGCGGAAATTTTGAATTATACCCCGCAAGTCGGTCCTGATTAACCCCTCGAATTCCCTAGTATCTCCTTCATGTTGGCCTCAACTTCGGGATAGCTTCGGAACGAAGCGAGAATCCCCCGTTCTGTCAGGGTGATTTAACCCCCGGCGAAAAATCCTCGGCAACAACCCCAATTACTCTGATCGGCGCCTGTTACCACGGGACGCTGTGCGGGGTTTGAGATTGAGCATCACAGGCCCTCTACGACGGCCTACAATACCACCACAAATCAAAAATACACCGCACGACCTGTACTCAACACCAAGAGTGCCATGAACCTCCACCTGCCGTGCAACCTGCAGAATCGGATGATGTCCTAGTGCTACAGCGAGGCCACTGCAAGTAATAAGCCAAATCCCACAAGATCTCTACACGACACCAGGAGCACTACTTCTTAAAACACCCTAGAAGCTACCCCATTCTTCCAGGTGATCCGAAAGAGCAGTCCGGGGGAATGAAATCCACAGCAAACACAATTTGAGCCTCCTCGCAGAGATATTGTGACCAAAACCCCAAACTCCCACCCCAGAAAAAACTTGTGGCCACCAACAGAAATCACTTCATCGACAAGACAGCCCATGCTGCAAAGCAGCGCAAAGAATTAGGCCATGTATAAAAAAACAAACCAACAAAACACATCCATCCACAGAGAAAGAGTAGCTCGCTAGTACGAGCCCGATCCTAACCGCTCAAATCTGCCAAGACAGAGAGCTAGCAAGACCAGAATGTGTGTTGTTAAAGCACCCCACCATAACAGCCCCTATTCCACCAGATGAGTAGATCCAAAATCCATGCAACTTTACCTCTAGTGCAGATAATGAAGCACACTTGAGATATGCAACAGTTTACCAGATTGAGATGAGCCATTCCAACAATGAGACAGTTCACCTCTATAGCAAGCAACATGGAGCAGAATAGATCCGTTATATCCCTTCCTTGACTTTCTTCACTTAGGCTCTCTTTGGGGTACCCCTCCTATTTGTTCTTGCAGCTCCCTTTTTACTGTGCCTCTCACGCACAAGGCTGGCCAGGTTGATTGTGGTTTAGCATCGGCTGCCCACATCCCCTTGTGCCCTAACGGCACACTTACACGTTATGAAAGGAGGCAGAATAAAGGGGGAGGTATACTCCTGAGTCCTGTTCATTTTTCTTCAGATCTTCAGCTTATATTTTGTCTGGTTTGTCAATGATGCTCATTCGTATGCATTTACTGGTAGTATACAAGAGGAGGGAGGAAGGAAAGGTGTAGGCGGTGGAGTTCTGTAGGAAGTAAGGGGGGGTGGAGGGAAAGGGGTTATGTTTGTGAGCCTGCACTGTTCATCCTCATCTCCCCCAGATTATAGTGATCGCATGTCTCCACGGAGAGGGAAGAGGGCCATCAGGGTAGCTGACATACCTGCCTACCTACCTTCCTTTTTCTTCTTGTTTGAGCTCCTCCAGGTGGTGCTTTTCTTTGTCCAGGAATTTGCTCCCAATCCTGACGATTTCGGCCCGCAGATTTTTGAACTCAGCTAACGCCCCTTTGTACATAACTGGCAGCCCGTTCCCGTCTAGAACGCGGTATGCACCTATCTCCACGTCATAGACATACTCATCTTGGATATCCAATATATGTGACTCTGTCTGGGGGTCGAGCAATGTCCGCACGAGTTCCCCATAGCTTTCACCTGTGGCTTTGGTCAAACGACTGCTTGGTGAACTGTCTGCCACACTTCGGGAACCTCCAGAGGCCTGCTCTCTTCTTTCTTTCTTCCAACGCTCCACCCTACTGATACTCTTCGATCGACTCGAAGATAGCCTGTCGCTCTTTGTTCCACTTCTGGATTCCTCGTTCTCTCCACCATGTCGGGAGCCTTTACCCCTAGCACTTCTTGAAAAAGCCCTGTCATAGCTGTCCTCCTCATCGTCCGAAAGACTGGGCAAAGGGTTATCATCCTCCCCCCACAACGATGACCAGGTGGACGAATCCCCATCCTCAATTCCATCATCGTCACTATCCTCCTCCTTGGCAGCGTCATTGCCATCGTCGTCATCGCCGTGCCTACCATGTCCGCCTTGTGGCTCCTGCTCTTCGGGACGAACTCCATGTGGTTGCCAAGTTCCTTCGCGACCTTTCTGCCTCTTACTCTTTACTTCTTTTTCTTCTATCCATGCCCAAACCATCCTCTTTATGTTGCTCTTTGAGGGCATTCGCCTTCGTTTCCTACTATTGATTGCTCGCTGCTCTTCCTCCTCTCTCTCCTCTTCCTCTTTGTCCTCCTCTTCATCTCGCATCATCCGCCTTCGCACTGAGAAAATCACATTCACGGCATGCATCACCTGGTTGCGATAATGCATGGTCTTAAGAAACCTTAGCAAGTACAATGCCTCAATCTTCCTGTTCATCCTCCCATCACTCACACTCCCGATCATCTCCCCAAGGACTCCAGAGCTCGATCCACCTGCGCCGCCATGTTTAGCGGTTGAGGAAGCAGCAGCACGAGGTGTTGCTTGGCTCTCGCCACCCTTCTTTTTCTCTCCTGTTGTGGGCCCATCATTCGGATCTGGTTGGTCCGAACCAGGTTGGTTTGGACCCGGTTGGTTCTCAGTTGAATCTTCAGTTCCAAAACTTTTCCAAGCGGATTTTATCCTCCCCATTCCCAGTTCTCCGACCAGCGCCTGCAGCAGCTCTTCTTGCTGCTCAGGTGCCATTTCCTTGGCCATCTGCTCAAATTCCGCCATTCGACCCGTCTGATGAAACCTTCGCCGCAAGTTCTCGAAACTCGACACCATGTCCTGTGCGTGGGCAATCGAAAATTTTCGAGCTCGTTGGAGAACCTACAGCGAAACCACATGCCAAATGATAACAACAGAATTAGTTGGAAAATGATCTAAAACCAAGGGGCTGAGCTCAGTTGGTACCATGAACTGTTGAGATAATGACCCAAGTTTGAATCCAGATGCCATCAGATGAACAGAAAAAATCATTCGGAATTACCTGGGGCCAGTCAGTCCAATGACGATATCTCATAGCCATTGCCCTTTTTCTGGAAAAGAAAAAGAAAAAGCGATGTAAAGCAAGCAAGAAATGGTCTCGAGTACCAACAGGCCTAGCTCAGTTGGTACATGTATGCACTATTAAAATACAGAGTTCAAGTCCAGATAGAACAAGATGAATGAAATCAAATAATTCTGAATTACCTGGGCCTGGTCAGTTCAACGACGATATCTCAAGGATGTCGCCTATTCTAAAACAAAGAAAAAGAAAGGGTCCAAGAACAGAAAGCAGATCGACTGGTGGATTGGAGGACGAAGACGAGTGGTCATCCGCACAAGGTTTTTGGACCAGTTATGGGTGTATTAGCATGATGACAACTGGCTGTATCATGCATGCACTGTGTGGAATGTTTGCTTGAATTGCATCATCAAGGTGGTGTGAAAGGCACACCTGTCATTACCTCACCTCACCTACACATCTGCTTTCGTTTTGGGGAAGTTCTCAACAAGCCCCCAAAGTTTGATGAATTTGTGAATACACCCTATCATCAACAAGTCCATTAGACTCGCAAACTTGCCAAATATCCCTGGTAGGACCCTGCGACATTCTCCATAAGCCCCATGCACTCAGACTCGCTTTCTTTCACACCACACATGCATGTAAACAGGTAGCACAGCAACTGGGGACAAGCGCCCACTCAGAACTTAGAGATATGGTAACCAAGAACACAGTTCAGATACAAGCTCACTTCAAATGGCTATGGCGCATTAGCGCCTGTACAACTCTCTGTTCGTCACTCACCCAACTCTGCTGTTCACACACAGGATCACCCTGGATATCCCACACGCGACACACTGTACACACACGCACACATACACTACACCCTTCTTCCAGCTATGGCGGCTATGGCCGCTACTACCTCTACCGCTATGGCTAAACTCTCCTTCTCGCCCACTTCGTCTTTGGGCATACTGCAGACCACCTCACACAAGTCGCTGTGGCAGCGCTTCCGCATGACTTACACAGGAATGAATGAATGGCTGGGCGATGCCTCTTGATTTATACTTCTGTAAGTCGTTGGTCTGCCCCTTTTCCATGCCCGTGGTGCACACAGTCCCATACGGTACTTGCTTGACTGGACTAGGACTGACTGGGACTGGGACTGCTGACTCAGCAAGGGTGGACTCCACCACTTGCCCACTTGCCTCTGTCTAGACGTGAGCTAACTTCGAAAGGCCACTACTGGGACCTTCCGGAAGTCTGTAGTCCTGGCCTTTCGAATACTGTAGCAGCTACGACCTTGACCTTTCAGGACTGTAGCAGCTACGACCTTGACCTTTCAGAAGTCCTACAGCTACGACTTCTAGAACTCCCGAAGACCTCTATCCGACAGGTCTACAGATCGAACCCCTACAACCTATGGACCCTACGACAGTCTACCAACTGTTACGAATACACAGGTCACGAGTTCAACTCTCGGGGTTGACGCAGGTAATGTACACAGGTAAGGTAAAGTCCTGGGATCTGCATTCGCTACTGCTAGCAGGTGAATACCGTTTCACTCCCGCCGGCCTAAATTCGAGGTCCTCCGAGAATAACTCAGTCCAAGGCAGGACCTTTACCTTTCTCATCTCTCTCGTAGGCTCTAACTATGTCGGGAGCTGTTTCTAGAATTTCCGTTCTAGTAAACCAGCGGTCATCCTCTGGTTCCTAATAAGCAAACCGGACCTTATACTGTTTCTGTGGACGACCTCTACCTCCTGTTCTAAACACGTGTTCACTTACAATGCCATCAATGTCGTACCTTCCGTCCATGTCTGGGGGGATCATGGATTTTCTAGATGGAAACTGTTGACTTGTGACACATGGCAGCAACTTTGACGCATGAAACACGGGGTATGTGTGGAGGTGTGTTGGGATCTCTACTGTGTAGGACGGCCCTTCCTCTCCGCCCTTAACTTCTAGAACTGGCCACGGTCCTCTATACGCGGGCAGTAACTTCTGTGAGATGTTTTCCTCAGGAGCAAACTCTTTGGACTTGACCCAGACCAGGTCGCCTACTTGGAACTGTGACGGGCGACGGTGCTTGTTAGCCTGTTCTATCATTCGGTGCTGGGCCTTCCTGAGGTTCTCTACAACGGTAGCTAACTCCTTCTCGTGCTGTATCGCAAACTCTTTGGTACCGGGCGGTAACCTTTGAATCTGGTCCCGGTTAAGTCCCTCAAACGGTCTGCGCGGTCTAAAGGACTTGTGCAGCTCATTGGGAGTGCGACACGTGGCTAAGTGCGCACTGTTATTATAGGCACTGGCTACCTTAGGCAACATCCCATCCCAGTTGACTTGATCGGGTCTAATGTACATACGCAGAACTTGTTGCAGGATCTTATTCATCTATTCGGTCTGACCGTTAGTCTCTGGGTGTCGGCCAGACGACATTAAGAACTTTGACCCATAGACTTTCATAAGTTCCTGCCAGTTCTGACTAGTGAACCGGGTGTCTCTATCGCTAACTATAGACAGCGGAATCCCGTGATCACTAACCCAATTGTCAAAAAACTTCTGAATGACTAACTCAGTGCGTGCCTCTGCATGCAAGGGAACAAAAACTGCATATTTGCTAAACCTATCGATTATGACCATGACTTGGCTCTTGCCGTGCCTACTCTTTACACCAGCGTCCATGAAGTCAATGGAGACCGAATCTCCAGGTTGATCAGGAATGAGCAAGGGTCGAAGAAGACCTAGAGGGGCACGCGTAGTTGTCTTATTCCTCTGGCAAACTTTGCAACTGCGAACATACTCTATGCAGTCAACTTCCATTCCTGGCCATGTGTACGCATGCATCAGGTTGGCGAGAGTCTTTTGCCAATCAAAATGTCCCTCTGTATCGTGGCATTCCCCTAAGATCAAACTGCGGATCTCCTCACTATTGGGAACACACAGACGGTCTACTACGTCGGTCTTCTCAAACAATAATCCTTCTGTCGTGCGACAGCTTGGTTCTGTCTCTGGGGCCTCCTTAACTCTCTTGATAGGGTCATGTGCATACGAGTGTCTTACTTTCTCTTGCAGGGCTGTCCCTATATCCAGATAGTGGACTACAACTCCAAAGTAGTCCAATCTCCTACTTAGAGCATCCGCAACCACATTGTACTTGCCCTTGACCGGTTTGAGCTCAAAGTCATATTGGTCTATCTCAGCGGCCCACCTAATCAACTTAGGTGTCATTTTGGCCTGTGTCTTCAGCCACCTAAGAGTCTCGTGGTCTGAATACACTTTGAAGTGTCTCCCAAGCAGGTAATGCATCCAGTGTTCTAAGGCCTGCCTGAGAGCGTAGAGTTCTCTCTCGTAAGTCGAGGTAGCTACCTTCTCTGAGGGCATCCTCGCTAACATGAACTCTACGGGTTTATAACCATTGTCGTCGTCTTGCTATAACATGGCGCCTATACCATACTGACTCGCGTCCGTGGTGACGACAAATGGCAAAGATGGATTTGCTACTTTGAGGACAAGGTACTCTATCAACGCGCACTTTAACTTCTTGAGCGTGGACGTACAACCCTTGTCCCACTGCCAGATTGCTTCTTTCTTTAGCAACCGGCGATAGTCAAAACGTTCCTCACAAACTTCCTCTAGTAGTTAGCCAGACCTAGGAACGACCGCAACTCTGTTAGTGTGCGGGGTGTCGGCCAATCTCTAATCGCCGCTATTTTGCTGTCCTCTGGCTTAATGCCATCTCCGTCTAAAATGTGGCCAAAGTACAAGACTTGTGTCTTGGCCCACTCGCACTTTTTCGCATTGATCTTGAAGTTAGCCTCTCTTAGCTTCTCCAAGACCTGCCTCAAATGACCCTGATGCTCTTGGAGGGTCCTACTGAACACTAAGATGTCGTCTAAATACACTACGGCGAATCTATCTAACCAAGGCCTAAACAAATCATTCATATATCGTTGAAATGTAGCTGGCGCATTGGTCAATCCAAAAGGCATCACTATAAACTCATAATGCCCATATCTAGTTCGGAAGGCAGTCTTGTACTGGTCATCAGGATGGACCTCTATCTGATGATATCCGAACTCCAACTCTATCTTTGAAAAATATCTGCAACCCTGCACCCGATCTAGAAGATCGTCTATCCTGGGCAGTGGTTCAGCGTTCTTTACTGTGATCGCGTTCAGACCCCTATAATCTATACACATGCGTAACTCTCCCTCCTTTTCGGGGACAAATAATATTCGTGCTCCACAAGGAGACGAACTGGGCCTAATCCAACCCTTTTCTAGTAGCTTGTCCAATTGCTTTCGTAGCTCCTCTAACTCCCTTGGGGACATCCTGTAGACTGCTCCCTTAGGAGTCCTACTGCTAGGCTCTATCTCTATCCGCTGCTGGATCGGCCGCGGTACTACTCCGGTCGGCAGCTCTGCTAAGTCTTTAAACTCTTCCAACAGCTTGGCGATGGTTGGATCCATGGGTGTGTATTCTCTAGGCTCAGTGATCTACTCCTGACACATGAAACAGGCGGGCCGTCTTAACCTCACCTGACGGACTAGGGAGCCTACACTCATGCTCTCTCAAATGGAGTGTAGCCCCTGATGCCTCTCCCCAGTCCATTCCTAGGACTATGTCAAAAGGGAGGTCATCCTGTACGAGGAGAGTCAGGGAATGGAGAACCTTCTCCACCTTCCCATCTTTCTCTAGGCGAAAATACGCCTGGACTCCCTCTACGTAGTCCTCAACACGCATCGTGCGGTTGTCTGCGAGGACACTGACTATGGGGTCTGTTAACTTTTGGACTTTTAACCCTAGCCTTAGCTTCTTCAGCGCCCTACGGCTAACATAACTGCGAGTAGCCCCTGAGTCTATAAGGGCTCCTACTCTGCTTCTAAAAACTTCTACATCTACTAACACTAGCTATCCTTTACTTTCCTTCTTCATTTTGGCCCACGCTGGCATCCTTTCTTTCAATTCTTCTGCCACGCCTGTGAGGGAAGTGCCTAGAGAGACGCTAACACAAGCAGTTTGTGGACAGCTAACTAGGCACTAGCCAGCAACCTATGCCATAGGCTCACATGGTGTGGGAGTTTCCTGGTGGTGCGCGCACACTTCCCCACATGGCCTAGTGGTAGGGGCAGTCGCGACCCCTACTGGCGGCTGCCTTTTGGCCCCTGGGCAGCAATCGGGCTTCCCTATACTTTAGACAATATTTGATAATATGGGCAGCGTCACCGCAGTAGATGCACTGCCCCTGCTCCATACGTTGTTGCCACACACGCTGGTCCAAGCCCAAGTCTTCCCAAGGTCGGCCTGTGGCCAACCTAGGTGCCAACCTCCTTGCCTCTTAGGTGACCTTTCACCTCTGCGCTGCGGCGATCGACTAGGCCCTGAGCGATTCGGCGAGGGACCTTGACCCCTACCTCCCTCTTGACGGTTCCTTTGACCGCCAACCCCCTGTGCACCCGGACCTCGACCATTCATGGCTTGGCCCCCTTGGCCCTGGCCTCCTCTACCTTGCGGCCTCCCTCCAGCCGCGACAACAACATACGTCCTCCCCTGACTTACACCACTGTCCTCCTCCTCTAGCCCCCATTCAATCTGACTGTAGGGGACTTCGTCCGTACCACCCTCATCCAAAGTAAGGATCAGGTGATCCTTGGCCCTAACCTGACCTGAGATGGTACGTCCCTTCCACTTCTTTCCCTTGTCTAAGTCCTTATGCCAGAAAGTGGAAACTAGCATGGACTTCGCCTCGAACAGGACCACTTCCCTACTTAACGCACCATACGTAATATTGGTTTGTTGGGTCTTATCAAAGAAATGCCCTCGCAAGGGCTTTGGCATGGCACGATAAAATAAGTTAACCAACTGGGTCGCAGTGACCCCGTGGTCTGGGATGGCTACAAGGTCATCCATCACTGCTTTGAGTGCTCTTGCACTCTTCCACCGCCTGGAGTGGATTGTTTGCAGTTTATCGGAGGCCCTGACGCCCCTTGTGACGCCAGCGAACCTCTCTCGCAGGAGTTTGAGGAAAGTAGGAAGAGGGGTGAGCCTAGAGTACGCAACCATATTGTGCTCACAATCGGCTGCGCACACAAGGGACCTGGCAAAGCTGGCCGCTTCATCCTTCAGCGCATGGAATGCCACGAGGACTTGTTCCTCTGGCGCGATATGTTGTAAATACACATACGTGTTAATGCTGGCCTCCCAATTATCAAAATTATCATCCTTTTTCCCGCTATAAGAATCATGAAATTTGAGCTTGACAGGCTCTTTGCGGGGACGCGTTTCAGCCTCTGCCGTGGCCGCTACCCTGGCGCCTGCACATAACTTCTCTGCGCCTTCCTGTAATCTCTTAACTTTGGTCCCAACGTGGGTCACCATGTCACACGCAAACTCTCTAAACCCGGTCCGGATGGAATGGAGGGTCACTTCTTGGCCCTCATTAGCCTGATATTGCTCAGTCCAGGCCTGTCCCAAAATCTCGAGATAACTCAAGATCTTGTCTAGTTTGGCCGGAATATCCTGCTGCGATCACACTTCTCCTTACACAATTGTATTCTCTCCACTTCCTTGGCCATCTGGTTGGCCTCCTCCCTCCTCTTCTTCTCCCTTGCCAGACGCAACTTCCACTCCAATCTTTTTTCATCCTCCAGCGTCTAGCGGTCCAAGGGGTCCTCGATAGCTTCCAGCTCCTTGGCTATTGCTTCCTTCTCCTCCTGAGGCACATATAACATTGCCTCTTCATCTTCTCCCAGTGATAGATTAGCCACCCATTCAGATATCTTCTTCTCCATCCACAAATCTTCTTCCTTCGTGCCACTACTCTGTCCTCTCTCTCCTGTTCGCTTTTTGAGGAGTCCTTCTTCCAATGCTTCCTCCTCCTTTGCTGCTTTTCTCTTCCTCCTCCTTCTGTAACCTCATCCTCTCCTCCTCCAACTTCTTTTTCTTCGCCGCCTGCTCCTTTGCGATTGCCTTTAACTTCTCGCCTGCTTGAGGAGCTCCTTCTCTTTTCTCTCTTTTGAAATGGCGGCCAATTGCTCCTCTTGAGCCTGGGTGTAAGGGGTAGTACTCTTCCCACTACGGGTGTCCACCATGGTGTCAGGTGCACAACTAGATATTAGTTCCACTCCTCACCACTTAAACTTCTACCCCTTGACTGACACAACCTACTGACTCAATTTATGGACCACAGAATCCGGACAGGATCCTGTCAACTAGGGTCACTAGCCTGAACCTACTCTAAGGCTGTCACTACAGGACTCTTTGCTGATCAGGAGACATTTAAGGAGATCCCCCGTAACTCCTCAGGAATTATTTAACGTCGCAAACAAGACGACGAGATCAGCAAGTCCTTTCAAGACTTAGACGACCTGGTGTGCAGCCCACAACTCGGATTTTGGGGCTACCATGCCACACTGAGCAGCCCGCCGGTCAGTACCGGTCCTTGGGAGGGTTCGTGTCCTCCGGGACAGTCGAGTCGTCAAACATAGCCTTTAGCCCTACTCACCCCGTGTGGGTTTGGTCAACAAGGCCCTATCCTTCATCCACAGTCCTATGAGCTGGACGGAAGAGACTCGATGCAGAAAGAAGAGACATACTGACTTGACTCAGCAAGTACCACAGGGTGTGTGCACATCCATAGGGCGAGGGGATAGGCTTAAAGGCTTGGCGAGATTATACCGTCTCCAGCTTGGTCAAAGTCGTGGTCAACAGCCTTGGGTCAACGCCTTGGTCAACGCTTGGTCAACGCTTGGTCAACGCTGGTCAACTTCCCGGTCAACTCCGGTCAACTCCGCTGGCCAACTCTTCGTCCGGCTATGGCTGCCGCCTTTTTCTTCCTCACCAACCTTCTTCTTCTTCCTCCTTCCTTTCTCCTTCCTCGCCACTATCTTCCACCCCGGCTATCTTCTTTCTTTCTCTTTTTTTTTTTTTTTTTTTTGTTCATCTCTCCCTTCACCTTCCTCGGTTATGGCTTCCTTACTTCGCTCGGTCTCTCCCTCTCCGTCTCTCTGCTCACATCCTCCTTCGCTACTCCGTGGCTGAGCTCGGTGGCTATGGCCGCCACTTCAGTTCGTTGGACTGCACAACACTCTTCAACAGGTACGTGACAACCAATCTCTCTCTCTCTCTCTCTCTCTCTCTCTCTCTCTCTCTCTCTCTCTCTCTCTCTCTCTCTCTC